GGGAAATCCTATAGTAATAATGTTCCATTTTTGTATGGCACATATCACATTAAAAAGTGTAATATTGTGGATATTACTACCCCAGCTTTAGCTCCGGCAACGGTAGCGCTCAGTGCATTCAATTTTACCAGGGGTATACTACAGGTACAGTATATCCATGATTTTACTTGACGATAAAGTAATAATTTTAACACCTAACAGCACAAGAAGTAAGAAGTACTTATAAAAGACAAGCAAAAACAAAGTTAGGTTCTGGAAATTAAAAATAAATGGGAAAGGATCGTTTTGTCTCTTGTACCTCTTTTTTTTTTAAAGGGGGAAAAATAAACACAAATTTTCTTTCAGTCAGGTGGTACTAAGAAGCCAAAAGTGTCATATTCCTCAATCAATGTTTTGAATAATCAGAATTTGTGCAGAGCCACGACTTATTTATCTCTCTACTCAAATTCATTTCCATTGAGACTGACCATCATTGCTTTCTCATGGGTAATTTCCAAACGACCGAGAGAGAGAGAGAGAGAGAGAGAGAGAAAAACAGAGAGAAAGAGAGAGGGGTGGGGAGAGTAGAGAAGAGAGACTGGAAGAGAGAGATAGATAGGTAGATAGAGAGAGAGAGAAAGGGAGAGAGAGAGAGAGAGAGAGAGAGAGAGAGAGAGAGAGAGAGAGAGATAGATTTCTTCAAGTATGATGAAGGCCCCGGAAGAAAGGAAGAAAACAACGGAAGAAAAAACCAATACATTCGTGAGTCAAGGCAGGTGATGAAAAAACGGATATCAAATGATATTAAAACCAGCGTTCATTGATCTCTCTTTAAATAGCGTAATGACTCGTTCATAATATCTTTGATTATTTCGACCCATCAAGTTCAAAACAGACTAGGACCATATTACACTATAAACCAGTATCAGATCTGCTGTTCTGTAAACAGGGTTGGGGGGGGGGGGGGGGAGGGGGGGCACGGATGTCCAAAGTACCGAAATGCACCAACAAAAAATCACTGTATACGCTATCATAGTGTTGTAACTTGTAACATCGGACAAAATGTTGTTATGATTCATATTAATAGTCGGGACTATAGAGTACCGAAATGTGACGACATACTGGCCAAGTTGTCATTGTTGCTGGTTCCAAACATCTTTGTGCTAAACAATGGTGTGGTGATCACAAAAGCCCCAAACACTGAATTTGCCCTGCTCCAGCCCGTTGCTGAATGGTTTCACGGTGAACTTCATGCGCAGGCTCTGCTGTTTAGAACCAGTAACCTGGTCAGATAGCGAATATGACGTCAACACTTCCGTACTCACATTAGAAACACATTTTCACATTTCTTTTAATTAATCAGGTTGACAAACGCCCATTAATTAATTGGATATCCTCAATTTATTAGGTTGACAAAAGACCTGTTTGTCAAATGGGTTCGCTTTATTTATTCATTGGCATGGCCAATATTTGACTTTAATTTTTTAAAAATCATATAATTATTGCTGTTGACATGATCTATGAACAAACAAAAAAGGATATCACGGCAGCTTTTGTTTCGAGCGGATGTGTGAGACCACGTGACTCTCATGGCCATTTGTTGCGTCATCTGCCCCACTGATGCGCATCCATTTCTTTAATGACGCGCAAAGACCTTTTTTTGTTCATGTTTATAAACTTTTCGCGAGCAGATTTCCTCGGATAGATTTTGTTGTAGTTGAAGCAGTTATCGGGGCAGTTATACGAAAATGGTATACAGAAGAATAAGAAGTAGAAAAGAAGAAGAACAAAAAAGAGTAGGGAGGAGAAGAAGAAGAAGAAGAAGAAGAACAAAAAAGAGGAGGGAGGAGAAGAAGAAGAAGAAGAAGAAGAAGAAGAAGAAGAAGAAAAAGTGGAGGAAGAAGGTGATGAAGAAGAAAAAGAGGCAGTAACGTGTTAATACGCAAAGCACAGACACGCATACTGTTATACATTATACATACACAAACATTACGTAGTCTTTGCTTTTAAGTTGTGAGATAGTAAAACAAACCAACCGGGTACCCATTAACATCACCCGGGCAGAGAGTGGTAGATGTCTTGCCAAAGGACACTGGATTCAAACCCCATTTAATAGATTAATGATTACGTACTACTACACACACCACAACAAATGAATATGTTTACACACCATTTTGATTGTCATTGATATATTATTTTCCCCTTTTCCCTTCTTAATGTTATAAATTATAATTTTTTAAGAAAGCATTCCTATAAGTTTTCTTGCCTCTACTAGCTCCTCGGACCTAAATTACTGTTGTTTCATTTTTCACTTATATCAAAGATGGTGATCATGATAATGTTGCTGCTGATGATGATAATCGCTTCTTGTATGCCGCCGGTTTCCGGCTCTGCTAGGCGCTTATGGCGCTTGCTCTACAACGTCTCACAAATTCAACGTTCTTGGTCAGCTGTTATTCAAATTGAGATTATGTTCCATTAGTATTTGTTGGCATTAGTGTTATTCTTGAGATCATGTCGTGGCTTGGAACAAGACAGTCTTGGACGTTGATATAGACTCGGCACCCCTGATATATTATGGAAGGTTATTCAACTGCTTAGGTCCAGAGAAGTAGAATGATCGGTCACCCCAATTTGTATTAATACAAACACAGATGCCCTCTTTTCATAAATCGAATTTGAGAATAAGATTTACTCTAGATAGACAATGTCAAAATCGACAACATTTTCAAAAGCAGTCGAGGTTAAAAAACGAATTAGTTAATACGAATAATGTTAATAATAATCGACTTTTTTTTTCTCAATGGTTAGCAAATAAGGGAAAATCGGTCTCATTCAACAAAATGTGGTTGCGCTCTATTTGTTTTGTGTCAATGTAAAAGAAACCAGTGAAGTTAATCTTCCCTTTCGATATGCAGACAAAATGTCACCGGGATATGTTGTTGTCATCATCATACTGTTATTATTCATTTCGTAAATATGAAAAGTATTTGAAGTGACGTATGACTCTGAGTCCGTCCCGAGCATCATAACAATCAAGTGCTTTATGAAGGTGAGACTTTGAAATAAACAGGGTTCATTTTAGGGTGTGCTAAACATAATTTTAGCATTCAATGGCATCTTAAAGAAAAACGTTTAAAACTGTATAGCAGTCCCTCCGCGAATCTCTAATTGCCAATTAGGTCAGTGGATTCTGACCGTAGGCGCTATTTGAAATTTATCAAAATTTACCTTTATTTATCTTTATATTCAATTTTTCTCGAAAACAGAAGTGTTTTAGGGGCTAAATTTTCTGGTGCTTTTAATACATCCACAGGGGCATCCAAATATATCAAAATTGTAAAGAATCACGATCCACCCATTTTTAAAAATTTCCCCAAACTTTGTATTACCTTTAAAGGTAAAGACCAGTATTGGAAACGCCCCAATTTCAAAAAATGAAATGGAAGCTCTTATTACCAATCATGTGATAAGTATGTTTTGACTAATACACGATGATAACAATTTTGCCGGGAAACCCGCCTACTAATTGATATATTTGGTAAATTAGTTTATATATTGGTATGTGAGAGATAAGCGCACATGTCGCGCACGTGTGCATGGTCCCATATACATCTTTCTGTGTACAGTGCTTATAACTTTACGAAGACTGGGCCAAATTTCTTATCATTTTGATGATTCCAGAACCTTGCAGTACCCACCAATACTTATATGCTAGATGATCAACCTTTTCTGATCGATTCCACAACGTTTCTTTCACGATGCAATCGGATGTCCATAACTGGTCTTTATCTTTAATATTGCTACTAAATTATTGTTCTTTTTGAGTGCCCTCCAGCATAATTTTACCATGCCTTTAGCTGAACTGCCATTACAGTGCGCTCAACACACTTAAAATAGTTGGGCAAAAAAATGCCCAACTTTTAACCAACACTGAGCAACATACGGTCCACACAACTATTGGTTAAAATCTGCCCAACTGATGTTGGGTAATCAGTTTGCTATGTGGTTGGGCAAATCAAATTGCCCATCAGTTGGTGACCCATCATATTTTACCCAACTCTACAATTGCCTAACAGTTGGTTATATTTTCAGTTGGGTAATTTCTTGCCCAACCAATTTTACCCAGTTAGATATTGCCCAACCTTCTATTTGCCCAACTTTTGAGTAAGTTTAATGTTGGTTAATTAAATGCCCAACCAGTTTTTACCCAACTCCCAGTCTGCCCAACTATCAAAACACCCATCTATTGGGTAATAATTGCTCAACAATTTCTCTGCAACATCCATTTGCCCAACTCTCAAAACACCCATCTATTGAGTAATAATTGCTCAACAATTTCTCCACAATATCCATTTGCCCAACTATCAAAACACCCATCTATTGGGTAATAATTGCTCAACTATTTCTCCACAATATCCATTTGCCCAACTATCAAAACACCCATCTATTGGGTAATAATTGCTCAACTATTTCTCCACAATATCCATTTGCCCAACTCTCAAAACACCCATCTATTGGGTAATAATTGCTCAACAATTTCTTCGCAATATCCAGTTGCCCAACTCTCAAAACACCCATCTATTGGGTAATAATTGCTCAACAATTTCTCCGCAATATCCATTTGCCCAACTCTCAAAACACCCATCTATTGGGTAATAATTGCTCAACAATTTCTCCGCAATATCCATTTGCCCAACTCTCAAAACACCCATCTATTGGGTAATAATTGCTCAACTATTTCTCCACAATATCCATTTGCCCAACTCTCAAAACACCCATCTATTGGGTAATAATTGCTCAACTATTTCTCCACAATATCCATTTGCCCAACTCTCAAAACACCCATCTATTGGGTAATAATTGCTCAACTATTTCTCCACAATATCCATTTGCCCAACTATCAAAACACCCATCTATTGGGTAATAATTGCTCAACTATTTCTCCACAATATCCATTTGCCCAACTATCAAAACAACCATCTATTGGGTAATAATTGCTCAACTATTTCTCCACAATATCCATTTGCCCAACTTTTTAATTCGTCTGTTGGATAATCATTGCTCAACATTTTTTCCATAACATCTATTTGCTCAACTCTTTTTCTCATCTAAAGGGTAATAATTGCTTAACTGAAACACAAATAACATACACAGTAAACACATGTTGTTGTTTTCATCAGAAACGTAAAAACAAAACTTGTTCACATCAACTACAACATTACAATTTTTGGTGAAAAAAATACAACCTTTTAAAAAAAGTAAATGCAAATATAGCCCCTGTTTGGTGCAGCATGACAACTTTGATGTACACTGTATGTATCCCATGTACTCCCATGTGTGGCATAGTGTTCATTTATCCTGACACACCAATACTCTGCCTTAGAGTGTTACACATGCACACATTTTTTTGAAGTGAAAAAAAAAGAGGAAATAAATTCAAATCCCTCTAGATTATTTGACATGTGCAGAAGTACCACATGAAAGTTTGGCTATCTGTGATGGTGAACAGGTACTGATCAAATAACAAGGATACACACTGCCTACTATAACTTTTTGATTAGATTAAAGACAACAAAAATCAATTGACCCTACCTGCTATACTCAGTTTGATTGATTTTATTGATATTATCAATAATATCAATACAATTTTGCAAAATGTAGATGAAAATGTTGACTTCTCTACTTCTGCTTTGCGCGATGTAAATTAATGCATGCAGTCCATTCAGCAGAGAGTTCAGCGTAGGGTCAATGGACGATACACATTACATGAAAATTAATGGTATATGTAATTTACAATCATATACCCCACTTGCTGTTTTAAACGTCATAAATATCATAGCTCATGTTTTATGAAGAAATATATCATTTTGATGTACGAGTTATGAAACAGTACTCTTGGGATTAAGACCAAACACGATAAGCATTTGTATACGCCAGTGCAAAAGATTTATAGCCAATAATATGTTTTGTATTTATACTTGGCATATATTCATTTGTTTTCTTAAACTTTCAAGGTGGGGATGTTAAGCAATGATTGGGATAAAACAATTAGGCCTTTATCATTTTTAAAATGTACACAAAGACTTCTGCTGTGTATAAATTCTCTCTTTTTTTTATATTATTCAGCGATCCTCACCCCACCCTCAAATCTTCAGTCTTACACAAACATGTCTAAATTATGTAAAATAATGTGCTGAATCCAACTCATAACAGTTTGTCTTTAAGGTTATTTTGTCCAAAATAATACTTTTTTCCAGTTTTTTTTCTCCCAAAATAAACTGGTTCAAGTAGCCAAAATGTGCTAAACGATGATGTGTCAGTTTCATCTGTAGGAAATATATCACCAGTAATCATCCTTGGCGTGAACACATCATGATGGCTTATGGCATGTTCATGAAGGCTCGGACCTCCCGCAGCTTTGGTGTAAGATGCTCCCCATCGGTAAACTGGAACACCACAATCTGGAGAAATTTCCAAACAGAACAGCTTTGCGGCTGATATTCGATATCCATCACATAAAGTGCCTTAAAGCACAAGTCGACTGCTTTAAGCAGTGTTGCGGCAGGAAGTATCCTCCTCTCTACTACGACGTACGCCTGTATTGGTGTGAGAATGTTCCCACGCACAACAACAAATGGCTGTGACCTGACTGCTTCATCAATGTTATCAACATAAGTCTGGATGTCGAGAACCTCCTGTAGTCCAAAGAGAAATCAAGAAGAAATCATTTGTAATTATATGGATTGATATATATATATTTGATGCTTGTCGAATGCTTCTGCTTATGAATCCACAATCACCTACAGGACACCCAAATTTGTTTATGCATGTTCATCCCTGTCCCATCAAAACATTACTGGGTATTCTTACATATCCCTGCGGCAAAGGTCAACTGTACCCAAACTGGTCACGTTCAGAGCATTACATCAACTAAGCTGGAAGGCATATACAGCCTGTTAATATAAGCATGCATTTTTCACATGTCATTTGCAGGTTAAAGGACTTGCTTGCATTCATGAGTGAAATGCGATGTGATGACAAATCTGAGGCCATTTGTAGTTGTACCACAGATAATGACGAACTGACTTATTAAGATTAAAGCGCCTAGTGTTGCCCCTGCAGGGCCTCCTTGGGGACCAGCGTGCCCATTACTAGGAACTTGAAAATGGTTGCTTTTCAAGTTTTACACAAATAAAATGTTATGGCAATGCCTTATCTGGTAAGAACATAGGTATTGCATTTCAACCTCAATTTCATCAGTTGTCCTAGGTTTGAAACTCTTAACAAATTAACTATTGAATTTGTTTGTAATGAAATATGATTACTATGGCAAGATTTTAAACACAAACCAAAATATATGCCTTACATGTCATTACTTTACCACCTCCCCAGCACATATACTTACTGGTTGAACGTCAATGAAGGACGACAATGTTTCTGCAGTGGTGTACGTTCCTCTCTTGGAATCTTTCCTTCCTCGGAACAAGACTGGGAGCATGTAGAATCCAAGATTGCTCTTTTCCTCTAAAAAGAGGGAAACAATGAAAGAGTTAAGTAATTAAGTCCCAATTACATATGAAGAAAAGGTGCAACAGCAAACAGGTCAATTATGGAACATCTTACAAAATGTACAGTTATATACAGCAAATTAAAAATAACGGTCGAATACAACAATTATTTTCTACAAATATGGGTAAAATCACTCAACGTAAATGTCAGTCAGTAATTTGGAGCTCAGCTTTCTGAGTAAAGAAAATCAAAATTGCACAAACTTCAGCATAGCCTTCCCAATGAGCTTTAAACCACCATCCCCACCCCAAAAAGCAAACAAACAAAACAAGCAAGTAAAAGTATGCTAAACCTTTGTCATGGAATCATGTTTTTATCATATGTTGTACATGTATTATATGTTTCAGAGCACTTTTATTTATTTCAGTTCAATTCCTTACAGGGGGGATATTAGACTCAATGTTTGGTCCTGGCCACAAAAATAAACATCATATAGTGTAATTGAAATAAATTCTTTTGACTTTCTCTCAAGTCATTTTCACTAATACTGTCAAATGTGTGTTCTGACACCACATACCAAGACTGAGTTTCCCAGGGTCATGAATGTTTTCGAATTCGGCTCTTGCACTTCTCCAGTTGCCAGTTTTCTCGGTGAAGTCCACTACTTTGTTACAGAATGTGGGCCACTTCTGGTACAGTGCGTTTGCTTTCTCTGGGAACAATTCTGCAAAATCTCCTTCAATCTGTAATTGTTAGGATAGTTATAGAAGCCAGATTAAAGGTAGGATATCTTTCATTTGCATCTTCTCTTTACCATTTTGCAAGGATTTGAATGGTACACACTAACAATTATCGGTTCAATAGGGATGCACGATTTCTGTAGGACCGTGTATCTCAGATTGTTAAACGATCCCTTTAAGGAGACTGCTAAAGTAAACCTGCCCATGCAACCAAAAAACAAAAAAGTTACTTCTCAAAACATGCGACTCTAGTTTAATTTAATGTCCTTTCTTGTCACATGCAGAAGAAAAATCAAGGTCCACATACCATTCCAGCATCGAGAAGTCTGGGATATGTGGTAAGAATGTTCTTCACACAACAGTCACTTCTCTTGATCCAGTCATGTCTTTTTGTTGCTGTTTGTTTCATGTAGTCCTTCACCATGTCCTCTGGCTCCTTGTTGTTACGCAGCCATTCTTCCATTGTCGTGATGTTATCATCGTTCACAGACTCAAGATCAGTATCTCCTGGATATAATGCAACAGAACAATCAACAATTAGCATGTATCAACAAGTTTTTGATGATTGTATTGGAAGGGGGGTTTTAGTTGACATTGCTCATGCCCCACCAGTTTGTTATGGCACAGCATGACTTCATCAGCCGGATCTGAATAACTCATAACTTTAACTATATGAAAAAGTAGCCAGAATACCTTGCTTTTGAGACTCTGCCTCGTCTTCAGCTACTGGTACCCTCAGGGACTTCTCCTTTTTTCTGACATACCTCAGATGCTCCTCCAGGTAGCCTGTTGCTGGCCGTCCCTTGGCCCCCACGCAGTACCAGGCCTCCTGCTCAAATAAATTAAAATTCCTTCATAATTCAACTTCAAAAACAGTAATGCTCAACAACATTTGTTAAACATTAATAATAATCAAATAAAAGCACAATAAAATTCCAGTGTAAACTGTACATTTACATATTTTGTTACATATGTCAGTGTTTGCAATAACAAGGTTTGTCCTCTTAAGTACCTATTTCTAACTGCACACTGTTATATTCCAGCAATGTCATCAGGTCATTGCAAAAACAAAGTGAATGATGGATAATTCTGTGAATATCCATTACTCAATGGCATGCAGACAAAAGTCTAAATATTAAGAGATGTGTCATTACTGGATAATATAACTTATAAACAAGTGGTAAAAATAAACAAAAATATTGCACGATTTAGTGATTGATGCCATATTAGCTTTTCATTATTTGTAAGCTTTTCAGGCCTGTCTACTGTCAAATTTACTATTGCCAGAGATGCTCTTATAATGCTTGTGATAATGTGATACAACATGCAATTGATTGAGCATCTCCAATATAATAAATACAAGAATAACAAAATTGAGGAAGCTTCATAGCAAGTTACACAAAATAATATGATCCAGTATTCCAAAAGTTATTGCATAAACACATAATTTATTTGATTTAGACCTTAAAGTAGCTTATTGCTTCTGGCTCAAACAGAAACTTCTCATAAAATTTCACTTTCTTGTAAATGGGGTCTGTGGGGTAGGGACAGATGGAGGTATGGATGGACAACCTAAGAATTAAGGCACCTCCAAGTAATAAATGCCCGCTGTGGTAAGAATCAATCCATAAATCAGTCCAGAAAAAAGTGGTGATCTGAGCCATACCTGAGGTCACATATATTAAGGAAAGCAATTCATGGACAGGACTTACATAGCCAAGTGGAGATTCTGGATCTTTTAAGAAAGGAAAGCTTGTCACAAGGGCATGGGCCATTGATGCCTTCACAAATGAGCTTGGCTTGGTACCATACTCCCGTATCAGGTACTGAGTCAACATATCCACAACAGTATGCCGGTCCCTTTTGCTGCAGAGATTTGTAGCATTGATGTTCCTTAATGCTGCTCTTCCCATGGTGGTCTCTCTCAATATACAAGCAATGTTCTGCAACAGATAAAGGATTTTTTTTTTAAAGATCAGTAAATTCAGAATAAACAAGTGAAATGTGACAGCATGCAGTCGGTGGGTATATCTCTGGCTGTCCGACCTCCTACAATAAGCCCATCATAAATCACTCACTGGGCATTCCTTCCAAACTTTGTTCTGATAAAAAATTTCAATGAAACCTTGAAACTGACCTTAGACTAGCTTAAAACCCATAACCCCAACCAAACATTTTCCATAACATTCCTTTATTCATTCATACCTAAATGTACCTACCAAATCATATCACTAGCCATTCTGCAGATGTAGAAATAAAATGGTATTTTTAGTAAAAACTTGAATAACCTTTGAACTGACCTTTCACCTTTGAGCCCTGCTGCTTGTCAGAAATACTGACAGACAGATAACTCCAAGACATAATGCCTCCGGCACTCTTATGTGTGGGAGGCATAAAAACTGATGAATGATGGTGACTCGACATGCCCACTCTTCAATTGTATCAGCCCACTATATACATAAACTTACGAAATGCACTTTCTTGACCCGTTTCAGGGGAGGATGTTGATCAGGACTCTTGGATTCTGGGGAGTCGTAAAGTGGCGTATCCAAACTGGGCTGGGAAGGGCTTTGTCTGGGACTCCACTCACTTCCTGTTACACAAGAGAGATCTGAGCAGTCATCTAAGGAGAACACTGATGGGCTCCTTGTCGACGTTGATGCTTGTTCCATGCTTTGTTGATTTGCAGCATGATACTACAATAAATAAATGAAAAATAATTGAACTTTCAATGTACATGTAAATGACTGATTATTCTTTACATTATTAATGACACAAACAGCCCCAGGTTAGACTTTAGTATCAAGTTTATTCCTTGAAGGGGAAAATCATTCTCACTGTTTCTGTACCCTTGTCCTGTTTAAAGCAAACCCATAATTGAAAAGTGGTCACTCATGAGCCGAAGCTTCTTCAGTACATCTATAATATAATAATATCCAGTTAGGAACTTTCACTTTAGGCAGGAACATGCATTGGTAAAAAATAGCACATTTCCGGGGCCTCAATGAAGTACATATGCTAGAAAAACTTGGCATGAGTCATGGTACATTTAAGAAATTACAACATAATATGAATGAATGCAAATATAACAGACACATTTTCAGATACAGAAACAATGAAGTTAATAACGAGTTAAAAAATTCAAACCAGATATTTACTGTAAAATTTTCATTGGAATAATCAAAAATTTTTAGCAAGTCAGTACAGATCGCTCAAGGTTAGCTTCTTAGCTATTTTTTCAATCAAAATGTGTAGAATGATACACTAAGAACTGATTCATAGATATAATTGTAATTGGAATAACAGTTTCTTTCTTTTGCTTTGTTTTGGTTCTGTTCTCTAAGACAAAATTTGCAAGTGCACCTGTAATGTCTAGTTGTAAAAATATATCACTTGCTTGCAACGTGTTGCCTACACGTACCTTCTTGTTCCTAGATGAATGAATGGTGCACCACAATATACAAGCAGCGCCCTCTTCCACTATAGGACTGGACAGCATTGACTGGCCTGTGATCAAACAGGTCACACCATTCAACAGCAGCTTGTGCTTCCTCTCTGCCCACCTGTACTGCAAATGCTTCAACATGTCTGTTGAAGTACAAGGTCTGATACAGCCGAAGGAGCAGATACAACTTTTCTTGCACCACTACAATATGCTGAACACGTCCAAACGTGGGTCCATCATCATCAGTCCAATATAGAAGTACATCAACACCTGCCCGGAACTCATATCCATGAATGTCCACTTTCCCAGCAACTGTAACTTCGGTTCCCCTTCCACAGTTAATTTTTTTGCAAAGTGCCTCATCATCAAGTAGATCACCAAGCATTGCTGCAGCTTGCTGTGACACATTGATATCTTGGCTATCCAGTGACTGATTTGATACTGACCTGTAGCACCGTGCCATTTGGTATCTGTTAGCCAATGTTTTGACAATGTTTTGGTAGTTGCAAGATACACTGGCAATCTGCTTGAAAGGTCTGTGCATTGCTTCAAAACGCAATGCTGAATACTGGGTCAGTGGCCCAAGGTGTTTCAGTGCACGTGGGTAATGCACAAGAAAGTGCTGCTTCGGAGTTAGACTAGCTTCAGGGAAGAGCTGCATGAAGAGCCTGTGGTGATCATCAATCATTGCCTTCAGGACATAGATGGCAGACTTACTGATACTGGGACTCATAATGATTTTGAAGATGTCAATGATTGACAGTAAGAGTTCCCACTCATCACACATCTCATCAATCTTGTCTCCTATCATGAGAGGGATGTTGTATGCAAGGCACGTCATCTGTGCTGATGTCTGTCCACTGGCAGAATATGGATTCTTCAGTGATGCCTGCCTGATTGGGCTTGGTCTGTTTTTGCGGTCCACAAAGCCAAAATTGAATGAGGATATTCTACTGTTCACCTCATCCAGTGTTATGAAACCCTTCTGAACAAGTTTACTCAAAACAAGGTGCATTTCCAGGGGCAAGACTCCCTCTGTAAAATCATGCATTACATCTGGACATAAGTTTTGGGTGGAATGGTAGTAAGGCAATTCATTCAAAACTGTTGCATGCTTCAAGCCAGATTCTGACAAGGGCTTTTGAAGATCTGTATCATAGTTTATTTCATCACGGAGATATTGGGCATCCTCTTTTGGCTGTTTCTGAAGCAACGAGCGATGCCCTCTACAGAATCTACAGTAATAGTTGGCACGGAAACAGGTTGTACATCCCAGCATGGCATGAATGCCAAGATTGTCCCCTACAACTTGGAATAAGTAGGGTTTGACCCTACCCTCAAACTCTTTGCACTTGATAGTGAGTCCATCAGTCCACATCTGCTGCAGATCATCCTTGATTACCTTCAAAACTTCTGAGATGCCATATTTACTCAAAAGCGGAGATGTGATCATAGCTGTGAGCATGATATTTTCCAGCCTAGCCTGGTATTTCCTGGGAAGGGATAACACACTTGTATAAAAGGCACTTACCTTGTGTTTGCCGCGTTTTGACCCAAGCGGATTGGCTGTCTCAAACTCATCATTGTACAACAACAGAGGCACTAAGAATTCACAGTCTTGTCTAGCAGTAGCTTCCTGCCTTTTATAATAGTGACCATCTTTGAATGAATACAAAACATCATTATCTTTTGATCCTTTTTGAGACAGTATGGCGTTCATTACTCCTGGTCGCTCTAAGTATTGTTTAATAGTGTCAGCTAGTGGTATATATTGAAAGGTTTCTTTTTGTGTGCTTTGCAGTGGATCACCTGTCTTTTGATCAATTTTTGGTTTTAAGCAAGTTCCCAACAACACCTCACAAGGCTGAATGAAATCACCTTTCTCAGAGAAATATTTTTTCTGTTGAGTATCTGACATGAGCTCTGAAAATGGATTCTTTGAATTCTCGAATACATCTTGTATATCAGATCTCAGCTCACTGTTAGCTGCATATTGTGGCTCACTTAAGATATCCATCACATCCTGTTGCACAGTTTGTAACACAGAAATAACCAAATCTTGTGCGGTTTGAATGACCTTGTTGGTGTGTGAAGCAGGCACATTAGTCCTTGCCCTGAGTTCTGCTACAAACTTTGCTGCAATATCAGGTAGTCTCTCTGTTTGCGTTTCAAAAGAGACATCTTCCTGCTCACTGCTTTCTCCAACAAACAATGCCTTTTCCTGGTGCAGTTGTTCCAAATTCCCTTCAGTGTTGTTATTCTTTCCTACATGTAGAACAGATCCTTCATAACAGGTTTCACTTTGGTGATCTGGAACTGCTTTTGTAGTTGTGCTTGACGTCTTTATCCGTGCAGCGTGCTTTGAAATGAGATGTTTTCTATATCCTGATAATGTACGAAATGTTAGTCTACATGCCCCTTGCATGCATGTTATACTTACATTTTTTCCCCTGGTTGTTGTATGTGTGTATTTTAAATGATGGAATAGGCAAGAAATATCCCCCCTAATTAAATCAAGACACTGAAAGCATCTGTAACTATCCATAGTGAGATATTGTGCCACACTATTGTCCTACCTCTGCACGCCACCCAGCAAACACAATTTGAGCAAAGTAAAATTGGGTAAGTGGTGATGGGTAATTATTACTCAGCATATGAGCAAACAAAAATTTGGGCAAAGTAAAATTGGGTAAGAGGCGGTGGTCATTTATTACCCAATATATGAGCAAACAAAAATTTGAGCAAAGTGAAATTGGGTAAGAGGCGGTGGTCATTTATTACCCAATATATGAGCAAACAAAAATTTGAGCAAAGTAAAATTGGGTAAGTGGTGATGGGTAATTATTACTCAGCATAAGAGCAAACAAAAATTTGGGCAAAGTAAAATTGGGTAAGAGGCGGTGGTCATTTATTACCCAATATATGAGCAAACAAAAATTTGAGCAAAGTGAAATTGGGTAAGAGGCGGTGGTCATTTATTACCCAATATATGAGCAAACAAAAATTTGAGCAAAGTAAAATTGGGTAAGTGGTGATGGGTAATTATTACTCAGCATAATTATGAGCAAACAAAAATTTGAGCAAAGTAAAATTGGGTAAGAGGCGGTGGTCAATTATTACCAAATATATGAGCAAACAAAAATTTGAGCAAAGTGAAATTGGGTAAGAGGCGGTGGTCATTTATTACCCAATATATGAGCAAACAAAAATTTGAGCAAAGTCAAATTGGGTAAGTGGTGATGAGTAATATTCCTCAGCATCTAACAATTACCCAACTACTTGGTAAATTGCTCTCAACTCCTTGGAACGATGTTGTTGCTAAATGTATAATAATTGGGTAAATATAATGCCCTGAAATAGATTGGGATAAAAATTACCCAACTTTGGAAACGATTTCTCGACCAACCATCAGTTGCCCAACGAAATTTACCCAACTCGCAGTGGGAATGTGCCAAAATTACACAACTACAGGCAAAAATTACTCAATCCTAATTTGCAAAATAATGTTGGTAAATTTCTAGGCGAATTTCTACCCAACCATCAGTTGCCCAACAAAATTTACCCAACTCGCAAAGGAAATGTGGCAAAATTACACAACTACGGGGCAACTGGTTCCCAACCCTCATTTACCAATACTGTTGGTAAATATCCGCCCAATAATTAAGTAAAAATAATTGCCCAATATTGGTTAAAACACTTAAATGCTTAAATGGGTAATAATAGCCCAGAATAACGAATTTTTTTAACCAACCAACAATTACCCAACTAAATTTACCCAACATTTTAAGAGTGAAGTAGACTAGGTGTTTCTACCAACCGGATACCCATTAACATCACCCGGGCAGAGAGTGGTAGATGTCTTGTAAAAAGGACACTGGATTCAAACCCCATTTAATAGATTAATGATTACGTACTACAACACACACCACAACAAATGAATATGTTAACACACCATTTTGATTGTCATTGATATATTATTTCCCCCTTTTTCCTTCTTAATGTTATAAATTATAATTTTTTAAGAAAGCATTCCTATAAGGTTTTTTTGCCTCTACTAGCTCCTCGGACCTAAATTACTGTTGTTTCATTTTTCACTTATATGAAAGATGGTGATCATGATAATGTTGCTCCTGATGATGATAATCGCTTCTTGTATGCCGCAAGTATCCGCCTCTGCTAGGCGTCCATGGTGCATGCTCTACAATGTCTCACAAATTCAACGTTCTTGGTCAGCCGTTATTCAAATTAAGATTATGTTCCATTAGTATTTGTTGGCATTAGTGTTATTCTTGAGATCATGTCGTGGCTTGGAACAAGACAGTCTTGGACGTTGATATAGACTCGGCACCCCTGATATATTATGGAAGGTTATTCAACTGCTTAGGTCCAGAGAAGTAGAAGGCTCGGTCACCCCAATTTGTATAAATACAAACACAGATGCCCTCTTTTCATGAATCGATTTTGAGAATCAGATTTACTCTAGATAGGCAATGTCAAAATCGACAACATTTTCAAATGTGGTCGAAGTGTTTGAGTAGCTAATTAAGATGACGGTGATAATAACAAACAACCTCTTAATTAATATTTTGACTCTATAATCCTGTGTGTTTTATTTCAAAAGGGGGTCGAGGTTAAACAAACGAATTAATTGATACGAATAATGTTAATAATAATCGACATTCTTTTGTTTCATTGGTTAGCAAATAAGGGAAATTTGGTCTCATTCAACAAAAGGTGGTTTGCTCTTATAGAGCGCAACCACCTTTTGTTGAAGGTTAAAAACCAGTGAAGTTAATCTTCCCTATCAATATGCAGACGGATGTGTCACCGGCAGTGGCGGATCCAGGAATCTCTTACCGGGGGGGGGGGGGGGGCACAAAATCGCATGGGGTGAAATATATGAAAAACGATGTGGAGCGAGGCGTCAGCGGCGAGGGAGCGGAGCGACCAAGCGGGGGTGGGTCTGGGATAGGAAGCATTTGCAATTTTAGAACCACATTAGGTGCATTTTCAGGCACTTCCTGGAGTAATATGACGTAAAATTGCTTTTTCCTACCCCTCAAAGAGTAAGGATCCAGGGGCGGATGATGGGATCTGGCTTTCTGCGAAGGGGGGGGGGTGACCCAATGATGACACGGAGCATCGTCCACGAGCCGCGTAGCCCCGTAAGTGATGTTTTCCTGGCATCTACTGACACAATGGAGACCATAAAAAGCAGTGCATGATAATTACGTCTTTTTAAATCAAGTAACAGTTTAAGGGGAGGGGGTCGACCCAAAGACGATGCAGAGCATTGTCCACGAGCCGCGTAGCGGCGAGGCGATTCTTTGGTGTGCCATTTTGAACCCCCGTAAGTGATATTTTCCTGGCATCTACTAACACAATGGAGACCATAAACAGCATTTCATGATAACGTCTTTTTAAATCAAGTAACAGTTTGATGGGGGTTCGACCCAATGACGATGCGGAGCATCGTCCACGACCCTCAAAGTCCGAGCCGCGTAGCGGCGAGGCGATTTTTGTTGTTGCTATTTTGAACCCCCGTAAGTGATGTTTTCCTGGCATCTACTAACACAATGGAGACCATAAAAAGCAGTGCACGATAACGTCTTTTTAAATCTAGTAACAGTTTAAGGGGGGTTTGACCCGATGACGATACGGATACTATGTGGGTCTGGACACAAGTCATGATGGCGTTTTTCTATTCACATCACATTTTCACTTGGCAGCCCAAGGAGGGGGGGGGGTTAAACCCCCTAACCCCTCCCCCACCCCCACATATGCGCGACTGGGATCTTTTGCAAACTGGAAGCAATAAGCATTACATGTAGGCGATGGAAAAAAGTGCTTGCGAAACGGATAGAAACTTCGCGGCCACAGGGATGACAGAGAATAATATGACAATGAAACCAGCAACTATGGCAGGATTAATGGCGGGGACAATATGCATGCTGAAAGAGCATTCAGAATAGGTATATCGGAAAATTAATTCAAGACTAAGTTATAGGTTATAAGTTAGAAGTTATAAAGGAGATAAAAATCGTTGGTATTAGTCAAGTTCGACTTAAAATTGCATGCCCCCCCCCCGCCCCTTACCCGGTAAAAAAAAACAGCTTCTTATAATATCATACCCCTTTCTTTCTTTTCCCTTCTCATTATTCTCCTTTTCCCCCTTTTCTCTCCTCCGTCTTTCCGCCTTTCTTCTTTTTCCGCCTTTTATCTCCTCTCTCTTTCCCTTTCCCCTCCTTTTTCTCCTCTCCCCTTTTCTTTCCTCCCTCTTTTCTTCTTCTTTCTCTCTTCCCTTTTTTTTCTTTTTTTCCTCTCCTTTTTCTTTCCCCCTCCTTTTTCTCCTTTTCTTTTTTTTTGGCCGGGGGGGGGGGGGCACGTGCCCCCTGTGCCCCCCCCCCTGGATCCGCCACTGACCGGGATATGTTGCTGTCATCATCATACTGTTATTATTCATTTCGTAAATATAAAAAGTATTTGAAGTGACGTATGAGTCCGTTCCGAGCATCGTAACAATCAAGTGCTTTATTAAAGAGATGGAGGTGAGACTTCGAAATAAACAGGGTTCATTTTAGGGTGTGCTAAACATCATTTTAGCATTCAATGGCATCTTAAAGAAAAACGTTTAAAACTGTAGTAGTCCCTCCGCGAATCTCTAATTGGCAAATAGGTCAGTGGATTCTGACGTAAACAAGGAAAGCTCATTGCAAAACTGTACATTTATGTACTATAGTACAAAACTATCATCAATTTCTTATTGTTTTCCTATAAGGGGATTCCACAGGTACCTTTTTTCTTTGGGTACTAATAACAATTTATAATGCATTTCATGATATTATAATTGTTCCTTTAAAGAGTAAAGGCCCTCCTTAGTCACACATTTAGAAATTAGAATTTTAATCACTTGGAACATTTGGGGAAATTGTAATGCACTGCTTCACATGCAGTGTGACTGATACAAGCCAATGTGATGTTCCCATACGTATATTGATCACAATTTTTAAACTATCATAACCTTCTTATTTTTTGTCCAATTTATTTCAAACTTGCACCAGTCTGTTTCTATGGTTTCCTGCTTTCTTTGAGAATAGTTTTCTATAAAAAATTGCTTTAATTTCAGGCCTAATGAAACCCTTGTCATGTTTTGGACCAGAGCGAAGAATTCAGTTGAAGCCTGTCTGCACTAGTTTGGCCAGGATGGGTTAGACCTTTATGCCTGTTCACTGACCGTTGGTTATCTCATCAAATCAGCTCTTAATTGACATAAGAAAAAGGGGATCATGGGGGACCAACGGGTACCGCTTAGGCATTGTTTGCTATCTAGAGGGCGCACGTAGCTATAAGTAGTGCAGTTCCTCATTAATTGGTATTGACCGTAGAGGACTTGTCGTCAGATCGAATGACGTACACCCCCGCCCCCAGGCCTCTCGGTATTAAAGGGAAAGTCCACCCCCAAAATAAGTTTGTTTCGATAGAGGCAGAATAATAAGAAAATCAGGTGAGTGAAAGTTTGAGCAAATTCTGAATGAAAATAAGAAAGTTATGAATTATTGAAGTTGTGATCAATCAAACACAAATTGGC